GTCTAATTGTTTTATTTTGTGGCTAATTGGCTTGACGTTTGCTAAGTTTTCATTAGTACTGTACTTACCTCTCTCTGAAACTGACCACCTGGTGAGATTTTCATTTTTTTTTTCCTGTCTCTCCAGCACTGAGCAACCAGTTAACCATATACTAGCCACCACAATGCATAGAAAGACGTCTATATCAGATTAAATAGATCCATGAAGTTATGATTCAGGTTCTATTGATATCTGGTGATACAGATCTGTCAGGTTCTATTGATATCTTATAAGTCAACCTATAGAAGCAGCTTGTAAGTTTGACTTAAGTTCTATAGGCCTCAAACCCCCCAAGACATGTGGTGATATTTTTCTTTCTCACCCTGTTTTGGGAGGAGGTGAGCTTTTGTCTTCCCTGACAAAATCACAGTTGCTGCCAAGGGAAACACAGCTGAGGAGCAGGAGTGACCCAGCCTTCCCTTTGCTTCCTTTCTTCTTCCCTCCCTGCTGCACAGCTCCCTTGCTCCAGAAGCGCGATGCTGCCTCACCTGAGGATTCAGAGCTGCCTCCAGGCCCTTGCAGGAGAAGTGCAGGTGCTCAGGAGATTGAGGCTTCCCCAGCACCTGCCAAGAAAGTCTGTGCCACCTCTGCACTTGTTGGGGCTTCACCAGTGGAACCATCAAGAGAGCTCATCCAGAGATTTAATCTCTGCAAGCTCACGGTTCCACTGGTTCGCCTGGACCTGAAACGCCATCCTGAGCTCATGGTTCGCCTCGCTCCAGTCGACCCTGAAGCTGCTTGCAGGGCCCTTGGACAGAGCAACAGCTGCTCATCTTCTCAGCAGCACAGCCCAGCCTGCCACCCATCAGGTAGGGAAAGAGTTTCTCCCCTTCCTTTTCCAATAGCTCCTGGCAACTGAGCCTTTCAAGTGTTTTCCCTGAGTCCTCTGTCATGGCTAGATCTCAAGTGAGAATCACGGAGAAAGTGTACTAGGAAGTGGGACTGTGAATGCCAAAGTATTCTCTGCTCTTCCTGTCCTTCCTGCAGATGTGGAGGTTGTTGTGGGCATTTTCCAGACAGCCTGTCTGCTGAGGTGCAAGGGCAGGGCGAAAAATATTGCCCGACAGACAAGTGGTCAGTGTTAGGTGAACTCCCCTGTTTCTTGGAATGAAGTCCAACTAGGACGGTGATAGGATATTGCAGATGTTTCAGACTGACTGGCCTGCAAATCGGGCCGTGCCATTGAAATGAGCTCTGTGTGCCTCAGAACAGCTGCAGCTGCAGAACATGGCCTCACCTACAAGGTTGCTTTTCGAATAAACTCCCAGTTGAATTTCTCAGTGTGTGCCTGAAGATGCGGGCTCTTCTTGGGTGAATGCACGTTCTGTGGCCTTCTGTGATGAGAAACTCAAGCAGCCAAATCTAAAAGCTGCTGGGGAGATAGGGAAGGCTGTGATTCTAAAGTTGTTGTGTGCCTTTGGAGCAGAAGGGAGAAGAGCTGGCAGCTGGCTTTCTGGCAGTTGCCTCCTGCCCAGGAATGGCAGCGGGACACTTTTCCCAGACAGATGAATAAGTACGGGAGAGCTGAGTAGACAAGGAATTGGTTGTTGCAAAGCTTCAGAACATGTGGGGAATTTTCTCCTTCTCACCCTACTTGGGAGGATGGGAGCTTCTGTCTCCCTTGGGAGAAGTACAGTTGCTGCCAAGGTAAACACAGCTGAGGAGCAGTAGTGACCCAGCCTTCCCTTTGCTTCCTTTCTTCTTCCCTCCCTGCTGCACAGCTCCTTGGTGCCAGAAGCGCGATGCTGCCTCACCTGAGGATTCAGAGCTGCCTCCAGGCCCTTGCAGGAGAAGTGCAGCTGCTCAGGAGAGGGAGGCTTCCCCAGCACCTGCCAAGAAAGTCTGTGCCACCTCTGCACTTGTTGGGGCTTCACCAGTGGAACCATCAAGAGAGCTCATCCAGAGATTTAATCTCCGCAAGCTCACGGTTCCACTGGTTCGCCTGGACCTGAAACGCCATCCTGAGCTCATGGTTCGCCTCACTCCAGTCGACCCTGAAGCTGCTTGCAGGGCCCTTGGACAGAGCAACAGCTGCTCATCTTCTCAGCAGTACAGCCCAGCCTGCCACCCATCAGGTAGGGAAAGAGTTTCTACCCTTCCTTTTCCAATAGCTCCTGGCAACTGAGCCTTTCAAGTGTTTTCCCTGAGTCCTCTGTCATGGCTAGATCTCAAGTGAGAATCACGGAGAAAGTGTACTAGGAAGTGGGACTGTGAATGCCAAAGGATTCTCTGCTCTTCCTGTCCTTCCTGCAGATGTGGAGGTTGTTGTGGGCATTTTCCAGACAGCCTGTCTGCTGAGGTGCAAGGGCAGGGCGAAAAATATTGCCCGCCAGACAAGTGGTCAGTGTTAGGTGAACTCCCCTGTTTCTTGGAATGAAGTCCAACTAGGACGGTGATAGGATATTGCAGATGTTTCAGACTGACTGGCCTGCAAATCGGGCCGTGCCATTGAAATGAGCTCTGTGTGCCTCAGAACAGCTGCAGCTGCAGAACATGGCCTCACCTACAAGGTTGCTTTTAGAATAAACTCCCAGTTGAATTTCTCAGTGTGTGCCTGAAGATGCGGGCTCTTCTTGGGTGAATGCACGTTCTGTGGCCTTCTGTGATGAGAAACTCAAGCAGCCAAATCTAAAAGCTGCTGGGGAGATAGGGAAGGCTGTGATTCTAAAGTTGTTGTGTGCCTTTGGAGCAGAAGGGAGAAGAGCTGGCAGCTGGCTTTCTGGCAGTTGCCTCCTGCCGAGGAATGGCAGCGGGACACTTTTCCCAGACAGATGAATAAGTACGGGAGAGCTGAGTAGACAAGGAATTGGTTGTTGCAAAGCTTCAGAACATGTGGGGAATTTTCTCCTTCTCACCCTACTTGGGAGGATGGGAGCTTCTGTCTTCCTTGGGAGAAGTACACTTGCTGCCAAGGGAAACAGAGCTGAGGAGCAGGAGTGACCCAGCCTTCCCTTTGCTTCCTTTCTTCTTCCCTCCCTGCTGCACAGCTCCTTGGTGCCAGAAGCGCAGTGCTGCCTCACCTGAGGATTCAGAGCTGCCTCCAGGCCCTTCCAGGACAAGTCCAGATCCTCAAGGGCGTGAAGCTTCCCCAGCACGTGCCAAGAAAGTGTTTGCTACATCTGGACTTGGGGTTTCATCAGGCCAGCCAGGCACACACAGATTCCAATCCCAGCCAGAGCTCATGACTCCACCATTTCCTGCGCACCATCAAAGCACTTCTGCGGCCTCTCCAGAGAGCAGCAGCTGCACTTCTCCAGAGCAGCACTTGCCAGCCAACATCCCATCAGGTACGGAATGTGTTTCTCCCCTGGCTTTTCAGAAAGATCACAAAAAGTGACTGAAGTATTTTGCCGCGGTGCTCTGTCATGTGTCCATTTGATTGTGACAATCAGGTGTCAAGGGTACTAGGAAGCAGGATCATGAATATCAGAACAATCTCTGTCTGCTTTTCCCGTCCTTGCTGCAGATTTGGAGGATGTTCTGGCCATTTTCCAGGCAGCCTCTGTGTAGAGGGCAAAGGGCGAGGCAAAGAACATTTCTCCACAACTGGTCGGTGTCAGGTGAACTCCCATTTTTCTTTGGATGAAGCCAAACTAGGACTCTGATGGGATATTGCAGAGTTTACAGATTGTCTTTTGTTGAGATGAAATACAAGGGATGGCACCACCGTGCTTTGAGATGATTTATTGCTTAAGTAGCCCAATAAGAGATCAGTCCCGAGGCGTGAGATTTACAGGCAACAAGTCAACCACAGCTCGAGGAAGTTACGAGTTTCTTCTCCACATGGCAATATATAACTTTTTAGTCCAGTAGACAGTTGACACCAAGTTTGTTTTCACTTATTAAGCTCTTATCACCTTTACTTGATTTTGCCACACTGCGTCTGTCTTTTAACCAACAAGCTAACAGGTCACGTATTCACACACACTTCTGTTATAGTTCCTAGATCTCTAACTTACTTTATAAATCACACTATTACACTTTATACCTCCAACTATTTTACTTAATAGAATTTCTTACTTACTCTAGGCATATTCTTACTTGCAACTGTAAGAACATAGGTTTAGAATTACTCTACCTAATGTCTGTGTACTTTCATCACTCCATCAATCCAGGCTTTTTCTAAGGCTGCAGATTTTCCATTTCCAACAGTCTCTCCCGCAAATAATGCTATGAAATTTCAGTGCACGCTGGGAGTCCCCAGAACAGTTGCAGCTGCAGACCATGGCCTCACCTCCATGGTTGCTCCTTAGAATAAACTCGCAGTTGAAGTTTAGCATGTGTGTCTGCACCTCTGGCCTCTTCCTGGGTGAATGCACTTTCTGTGGTCTCTTGTGATGAGAAACTCAAGCAGCCAAATGCCAAAGCTGCTGGGAAGATGCAAAAGGCTGTGATTCAAGGTGATTATGTCTGTGTGTATGTCTAGATCAGTTTCACAAGCCATACTTTAATCTATGTACACGTCAATTTGGATAATACTTTTGAAGGGGAAGAGCTCACTCTTCCAATTCCCTGGGAAGTTTTTAATACCTTTCTGGAGTTGAGGTTGCTGTGCGCTTCCTGTGATGTTTGATCCAAGGCAGCAATAAAGCTCTGCGTCCCAAAGCCTCATTTTGGAGCCTCACCCATGTTTTTGGATTCTTCCAGCCGCCCCGGGCACTTCAGTCCCCAGTGCTCCAGCTGGCAGTGCTGGTTATGCAGCATGGAGAGCCCCAAGCTGGGTCTGGAGTACTCCTGGGGAAGAGGAATTGCCACCGCTGGATCTGGACCTTGTTCTGGAGACACTGGAGGAGATGCTTTCACCATCTGTGCCTGAAAGGTCTCCCTCTGCTCAGGTAACTCCATTGGACAGGGATGAGAGGGGCTGGACTGAGAGCTTCTGAATGTTGTTGCATGGCTGAGAAGCAAAGGCTTCTTGAATTCAGCTGGGAATGGACACGGAAGGATTTGCTTGGTCAAGCAAGATTTGCTAAGGAAGAGGGAATGAAAAGGGGGGATAGCCCTTAAGTGAGGATGAGAGGTGTTTGCCAGGTTTGGATGCTCCTTTTTCTGGGAAGAATCCCTGGTGCAGGGGCATTTGTGGGGAGGAAGTGGAAGCTTGGTGGGTTCTAACAGGCTTTGTTTGATGGGAAAGAAGAGAAGAGCGTTTGGAGAATTGCCACTGAAGGCAGAGTGGGAAGGGCACACGAGAGGTGCCAGCAGCAGATGTGGGCTCTGCCTCTCTTGGGCTGGAAGGCCAAGGCAAAGCAAGGGCTGGGCTGCAGCTGCTCCTGCAGCTGCAGCTGCTGCTGTGTGAGCCCTGCTGTGCGTGTAGGCATTCCCAGAGCTGTGTGTGGGGATGGGCTGGAGCTGCAGCTGTCTTGCCCTCTCAGGAACCTGGTGCCTGCAGTCCAGTTTCCAGCTGGGAAATGCTCAGCTGGGCAAACTGGCCAGTCTTGCTCTCCATGTTCCAGAGCTCAGTCACCTTGTGGGAAGAAGAGATGGGTGTTGCCAGACAGTCCCTGCAAAGCTGCAGCCTGCATGAGACTGTTGTGCTTAGGATTGTGGTGGGAAGAGCACATCCCTGTGCCAGGAGCTAGCAGGACTCCATCCTTAGCGCCCACTCCATGGCTTGAGTGTCATCCCCACGCTCAACAGCCTTGACAGCTCTTGGAGCATGTTGGAGAAGTCAGTGTTTTGGACTGTTGAAGGCCTCTGGGGCCCAGAGCTCCTTGTTAGGAAGAAGGGATGAAGTGTGTGAGCCGTGGAGTCTTCAGGGGGCAGATGTCTTGGTTTTGAGGCGCCATGACTTGTGTGATTGGTGAGAAGGACAAGGTTGGTTCTGGCCATGAAATGGTTAAGGACTCCTTTAAGCCAAGGGGCTCCTCCTGTGTTGAAGAGCAGTTCAACCAGGGCCCATTAGCCCTTGTGTTTGACAGATTCCCTCTTGGACTTTGGAATCCCTTTTTTCTTAAGTCTTCTCTCTTCCCAGACTGGCCTGGAGTGTTCAGTTTCTGCATTGGCACAGGCCTTTTTGCATCTTATTCTACAACTTTGCCAAAGAATTTCTCTTCTTTCATTTAATATGCAGAGCCATTGCATGGGTAGATTTCTTGTTGAGGAAGGGCAGACTGGAGGTGGGGAGGGGGATTTTTTGGAACTGCCCATATCTTCTTGCCAAGCGCGATGAGCCTTTGTCTTCTGCAAACTCCCGTGTATATACCAGTTTTCAAAAGCAATTTGTTGGTGCACAGAAGGAAATCTGGCAGGCTCTGATTGTATCCCTGCAGAATCTATTGGTTGATCTTTGCGTTTCCTTCTTTCTGTTTTTCTTTTCAGGTCAATCCTAGTGTTGCCCGTGGCTCTTCAGGAGGGGAGGCTGTGAACAAGGCTGCAGCAGAGGGAGCTTTGCCTGTTTGCGGGAGCCGTGTGAACGTTTGCCAGGAGCCCGAGGAGCTTGGTAAGGAGTGAGCCCAGCGTGGTTTAGAGAGATGGGAGACAGCTGCTCTGAGCCTGCCTCTGACAGGAAGGGAGATCAGAAGAGTTGAGTTCTTGTCTGCAGCAGGGTTGGTGCTTCCTGGTGCTTTTAGTTCAAATCCTGCACTGGCACAAGCTCCCCGAGCCCTGCCCCTCCATGCTTTTCCAGAGGCTCTGACACCGAGTCCTCTGCTGTGGCAAGAGAGCCGGCAAGAAACCTGAGCTGGTGGCAGTTGTGTCACCAAGCTGCGTGTCCCAATTGGTTCCCAGCTCACAGCAGCCTTCAGCTTCAGCCACTGCAGTGAGGACTGACGTCTCTGCGTCAGCCCAGAGAAAGAACAAGGCTGGGCTTCTTTGTGGCAGCTGGCACTGTCTGTGTTTCAAGCTCTCGGGGGTGCCATTTGCACTGGGAGGGTTGTGAATTGATTGGCGTACTTCAAAACTTCACAAGACTGGAAAACTTGGAAGGATCCCTGTTCCCTTGAAAGAGCAGGCTTCAGATTCTCAAGTGAGAGTGTGCCTTTCAGGCCATCTTTGACAGCCTTTGCTAGCAGGACAGTTTACTTGCAAAGGGAAAGCTACACGGAGGCCAGCATTGACTGAGAGTTGCCTTTCCTTGCCAGATATCCATGTGATCTACCTGGCCAGAAGGGCTGCCCTGCGTGGGAAGAAGGATCAGAGGGAGAGCCTGTGACCATCGGGCAGGTGGCATCCCTCTGTTTATAGATGTAGTTAGAGATTTTTTATCTTGATTTATTTATCCATATAGTTACAAGTATAGATTGATAGAGTTGTATTTAGAGGTGTATCTATTTCTACATCTGTAGAGTTTGTATGTATAGTTATGGATGTGATAGGATTTTATTTCTATGTATACAGTTAGATTTATAGATTTTCAAATTTGCATTTCTATATGTAGAGAGTAACATTTCTATGCGCACAGAGTTCCATTTCTAAATGTGCATAGTTATTTAGCTATGAGTTATATGGATGTAGAGGTCCATAGATTGAGCTGTGTAGGCCTAGGCTGCATTTTTGCCTCTTTCCCCCTTGGCTGCCTTTTTCATCTCTTGTTTTTCCCGCTGTGCCCCTTGTGTCCCCCTGTGCTGGGTCCGAGCTGGGGCCGGGCCAGGCGGAGCAGCAGTTGCAGCCCTGGCTGTCCCTGGAGCGGTGGGAGCTGCCGCTGGCCCCGGGCACTGTCCTGTGAGGAGCTGCTGAAGGACGCTGAGACTG